ATCTGGATGAAATCCCGCAGGGAGAAGCAGCCAGTCTGCAGCATGAGCTCCCCGGTGTCCTCCACGCAGGGCCCGGCGAACACCAACAGCTTGTGCTGCGACACGTCCGTGATGAGGTTCCTCAGCTGAGGACAGAGGGGATGTGAGGACAGAGGGGACACGGGGACGGCCCCAGGCTGCATCCCACAGCATCCCAGAGAGGGTTACAGCCCTGATTCCCAGCTCACCTCGTCACACAGGGATTTGTCTGAAGGGTTGAGCAGCACCAGTGTCTCCAGCACATCCCCGCGGTGGTGGAGGGTCCTCTGACCTGTGGGGAGCATGGGTTGAACTCCATCCTCCCCAAAAACTGGGGGGCACTCCACTGTGGCCTCGTGGGATGGGCTGGGATGGACTGGGATGGAGTGCCTACCCAGTTTTCCGGAGGAAAAGGGACAGCCCTCATCCCACTCCCGCCCACTACGAGGGCCAAAGGACACGTTTCCCATGTCCTTCCTGCAGCAGGGAGGGGAGGAAACAGGGGCAGAAGGTTAGGGGAGCCCTTTCTGCCCCTCCCCAACCAACCCAGCGAGCCCTGGGTGCTGCCAGAGGAGGTTTGGGGGTTCCTAGGCAGGAAACCACCCACTGGAGACCAAAGTGATGCTGCTGGGGGTGGGTACGGGAGGGGGAAAAGCACCGGAACAGCCTCAGCTCCATCTTCTCCATTTCTTTCTTCCATGGAAAAATCACATGCCGCCCCAGGGTGGCAGAGGGAAGTAGTTCCTCACATGGGGGATCACGGGGTGTGGATGGCAGGGAGGGCACAAAGCTAAGCCTGTTCCCACGGATTCACATGAACTTTCCCTTTCCCCACCACCCCCACAGCCTCTGAGGGGGCTTCCCCCTATTCCATAGGGGAGTTTGTGCTCCCCTTTCACCTTTCACAATGCTGGAGAACGTGGCAGAGTGTCTGGACACGAAGAGCTTCAGCTGCTCATCCAAGTTGCAGGAGCTGAGGTCGATATCCCACGAACGAATTCCTGTGGAGGAAAACCAAGGGATAACATTTTGGGGAAGGGCTCAGCACCCACCAGCACCATCCCCAACACCCACAGCACACCAGTAGGGATTGTCCCCTCAATATCTCTCCCAGATCCCTCCTCCTGAGGTGGTTTGGGGGTCTCCAAGCCCCTCCAGGACCCAACACATCGACACCTGCCTGGTGGGTGAGCAGCTCACACTGTGACTCACAGCAGCTCCAGCTCTGCCAGCCCCAAATCCTTACCCCCTCCGGGCATGGAACACCCTGCCAGCACCTCCTGCAAGGTGCTCATTAAGGAATTAACAGGGCTGGAAGGCTCAGCACACGCCAGGAACCTGTCAGCACCCAGACAGGTGCTCCTGGCTCACTGGGAACCCCAAGGGGAAGCCCAAAAATATGTCCCTTCAGGGCTCCCTGTGAGGTCTGGGGGGTCTCAGCCCTCCAAAGTGGCTGTGAGTGCTCCTGGGACAGCCTGGAGGAGCAGAGGGTGATGGTGTAACTGTCCCAGGGGGTTGCACAAGGGTTGAGGCCGTTTTGGGGTGATTTTGAGGAGGTTCAGGGCTACAGGGACAGGTTCTGCCATGGGGGGACATCAGGGAAGTCTCCATGGGACTGGGGGTCTGTTCCCAGTTTGGGGTGGTTAGAGACATCCTCAGCTCCAGGAACAGCTCGGGGTGGGTTGGAGTGGGATGTGGGGGTAAATTCCTGAGGGTCTGGGGGAGGAGAGGGGGCAGATCCCAGAGACCCTGAGGAGGCAAATCCTGGGCATCCAGGGGTGCCAGATCCTGAGTGTTTGGGGAGCAGATCCTGGGAATTTGGGGTGTTGTCCTGGGATTTTAGGGGAGCAGATCCTGGGGGTCTGTCTGGGGCTGGAGAGGGAGCACAGCTTGGGGACCCAAACGCTGGTGCAGAAAAGGAGACAAATCCTGGAGGATTTGGGGCAGGAAAAGGG